CTGATATGTGCTTCTTTGTTCAAACTACTAGGTTATCTTACCTTGGATGACATACATAAAAACAATGAAGTTTTACACAGAAAGTTGGAAAGGGCAAAAGCATTTTAATAGCTTTTATATAATTGTTGATACTTTTCTGTTTGATTCCAAAACTCAACAAGTATTCATTTCTTAAAGATTAGTTGGAATATGCAATCTGAACTCAGTTTTTACAGTTACATTAAAATCCATTGGTTTATTTTGCACTTGGATTCTTTCCACATCTATGATTAACAATATCTTATGATTTTGGCTGGGGGGTGTTGGGGATTGAACCAGGGCCTTGTGCATGCAGGGTTCCACAGATACCACTGAGCCGCCCATTAACAACATCTTGTGATAGACACTTAATAAATACTGGTTTAATGAATTGTTGACAGGTTCCCTCATACAATATAAAAAGTCACATTTGTCAAATTCTTACTGATCTCATTTAAAGGATGATTAATTATTGACAAACTTTCAGTCTTCCCAGGGCAAATATTATAATTTTCACATGGTAGCTGGAATTTGGTCATTAGCAACAAATATTGTTTATTCTTCAAAGTGATAGGGATTACTTTATTTTCAGGAAAATGTGTGGCAAACACCCACATCTGAAAAGCCAGTCTTGTGAAGTGATTGTTTAAAAAGTAAAAATGGTTTCTAGTTTTAAAAGGCTAATTTAGCTTGTTTGGTCAAATAATACCTTTATCCTTGAGACAGCCCTTGTACCATAATGGCTGTACAAATGATAATAAGTTATGTTGCTTCATCAAGTACATTAAATGAAATTGGTAACAATCACTATAGCTCACTGGTAGTTTGGTGCTAATGCCTTGGTGTATACTAAAGCATCAGTTTACTCGCCAGTGCTTTTGTATATGTGCTTCCAAAGCAAGCACATCACCAGTGCTTTTGAACTGTCAATGTCGATAAAACAAAATGCAAATTTATCGTTATTATTACTAGTAGTAGTAGTAGTTTGAGTGTATATTTGTGTCAGTTTTTAGGTTCCTGTTCCTATAATCCTTATAAATAGCTTCTGGGAGATTTTTATTTTATTTTAGGATGTAATTCTATGTAGTATATGAATAAGATCAGGAACAAAAAAATTACAATTTTTTGTGTGTACTGGGGGACACTGAGGATCAAACCCAGGGCCTCTTCCACTGGGTTTACTTCTGAGCTACACGCCCAGCCCAAGACACTACAATTCTTTACATTGTAATAATCATGTGTAGGCTACAGCAGATGTGAAAGTCACTTTATCCACCATCTATCTTTCTTTCTTTCTTTCTTTTTTTTTCTTTCTTGTTTCTTTCTTCCTTCCTTGTAGCAGTACTGGAAATTAAACCCAGGGTCTTCATATTGAGCTACATTTTTTTTTTTTTTTTTTTTTTTTGCCAAGTCCCTAAGTTACCCAGGCTAGGTTCAAGCTTGTGGTCCTTCTGCCTCAGCCTCCCAGAGTACTGAGATTAAAAGTGATACCTGTAGGGCTAGGGATTTAGCTCAGTGGCATAAGCACCTGCCTTGCAAGCACACAGTCATGAGTTCAATCCCTGGTACCGATTTAAAAAAAAAAAAAAGTGATACCTGTGTCACCATTAACAGGGTCTCTTGAAGAACAAATGTGAAACCTAGCAGTGTGAACCGTAACCCCAGCAAGCTATAGCCCTAGCCTCTTTTTTGTTCAAATTATATTGCCTTGTTCTTTTATAAGGTGGTTCTAAGACTAAGCAGTGAGTTTGCTGTGTTTCTTTTTTCTTTTTCTTTCTATTTTGACACAGGTTCTCCATATACAGTTCAGGCTGACCTCAAACTTGGAGTCGTCTTGCTGCCTCAGCTCTCAGTGCTGGCATTGCAGATACACGTCACCACACGCCGCTTGTCATACTTTTATCAAAATAAATCAGTATAATATGCATGATCATTTCAAAGATAGTTTTAAATAAAAGTTAGACAAGAAAGAATTAGGCTTAATGGCTATGCTTTAGTATCTTTCTCCAGGTAGGACAGTGTCAGATGAGTCTGGAAGTTTTGTGTGTATGGCGCTGTGGCTTAAACCCTGGGCCTCATGCCATTGTCGTACAATGCAGCCCAATTAGTTAATTTTTAATTAACATAAAAATTGTATGTATTTGGGCTGGGCATGGTGGCTTAAGCTTGTAGTCCTAGCACTTGTGGCTGAGGTAGGGTTATCATAAGTTCAAGTTCAGCCTGAGCCATGTAGCGAGATCCTGTGTGTGTATGTATGTATATGTATGTAGTATAGTATATTCTGTAATATTATATGTATGTATTTATTTGCAGCAAAAACTTTCAGAAAATGTTCTTGTAGCTTTTTTTTGAATGTACACTATATTATCTTAGGCTCCTACTGTACAGTAAAACACCATAACTGTAAGTTAGAATATGTTCACCAACCTTTCCTCATCCCTTCCTCTCTAGTCTCCCCAGTCCTGATAACCAATATTCTACTGTCAGTTTCTTTGAGATCAACATTTTTAGATCATACAGTAATATCTTTCTCTACCTGATTTAGTTCACGTGTTGTAATATCCTGTTTACATTCATATATAGTCACAAATAGAATTCCATCCCTTTTATGGCTGAGTAGTATTCTCTCTGTGTGTCTGCCTGTCTTTCCTCCCTCCTTTTTTCTATCTCCCTCCTTCCTTCCCACCTTATTCTCACTTGTCCCTTTAATTCTGTAGCTTATCGAATAGCACTACTAGCTGTATGGTTCCCTGAGACAGAAAGATGAAAATCACTCTGAATTCCTCCTACCACCATCAGAGTGTGTTGTTTTGGTTTTGCCTGAGTTACTGGCAGTTGAACCTAGGACTTCTGCACTGAGCCACACCCCACACTCTTATTATTACTGTTACTGTGTTTGAGACAGGGTCTCACTAAGTTGCCCGCTTGGGGCTCACACTTACGATCCTCTTGTCTCCGCCTCCAAAAGTGTTAGGATTATAGGTCTGTGCCATCACTTCTGGCACAGACTGATCTAAGAAACACCCCAATCACGTCATAAGTACTTACACCTCTTGAGTAGTCTTCTACGTAAAAGTAAAGTTACTTAGTATGGCGCATAAAGCCCTTCATGTCATAGCTGTCTACCACTTGTCATACATTCTGTCCTCTCAGAATTGCATTTATTTCAAATTTAGAAACCTTGTCTGAGCTATGCTATGGAGAATTAAAAGTAGGCTTTGTCTTATGTAGTACACAAGGGGTCAGAATGTTAATAGGGAAACATCACCCCTCCTGAGGCTACCTGGTGGTAGCAGCCCTAATTTAGGTGATGAATCCCTTTGGGAAAGATGACTTTCCCAGTGTGAATTAGGATTCTTTAAGGACTAGGCTTTTTTCCTTATGAAGATTCTGCCTCTGTTACAAGATTGGAAGTTTAGGGTTTAACGTTTATAAAGGAAAAGGAAAACGTTATAAAGGAAAAGGAAATATATATATTCTTCTTTTATATATAGAGAATATGTATATATATATTCTTATATATATATATATATATATATATATATATATAGAGAGAGAGAGAGAGAGAGAGAGAGAGAGAGACTGCCAAAAAATGTATACACCCTTTAGCAGTTCACTGTAATAATAAATATATTGGAACTAGTGGCTGCCATTTTGAGCCATCTTGTAACTGTAGAAGCCAAAGGTAACAATCTCATGATGCCTCAATAAATTTAGTATTAAAACATTTTTTCAAGCTTTTTTTCCCCTGATGTATACATTTTTTGGTGTTCTCTGTAGTTACATTTGTATGTGATGTATACACGTAACAACTTCTTTTCTCATTAATTAATCAGTTGGTACTCAAGTGACCTTCCTAGGCAAGTATTGTATCACTGAGCTACAGCTCTCTCAAGTGACCTTTCTAAAATACAATTATTATGTGCCTTTTTGTTTAAAGCTCTATTGATTTGAAATAATTTTATACATTAATTTTAACATAAGTGTACTTAACATGTTAGATATTTTTGTTAGATTTAAATTTGGGGTGTGGGATTCGAGTTTTGCTGATTTTAATTGCCTTTCTCATTGATTTTCAATTTTAAAGGATTGCTTCTCTGAGAAAATTTTATTAAATGCGTATTAGCTGTGCATGGTGTTGCTTGCAAAAAAAAGTTGTCTTGATGGGCACCAGAAATGTTGGCTCCTTTATATAAAAACAAAACACTATTTGGTTTCACTTAATTAAAATTTTTTACATAAAAGTTTTTCTAGAAGCAATATTGGCAGGCATGCTGGCACATACTGGTACCAATGAATCCAGGCAGTCATGTGGCAGAGACTGGCAGAGACAGGAGAATCACAAATTCAAGAACAGTCTGGGAAACTTAAGAAGACTCTCTCAAAAAGTCGAAAAAAGAAAAAGAAGGGCTGAGGATACACCTCAGTAGAGCACCCTCAGGTTGAATCCCCAGGACTAAAAAAAGCAAGCAGTATTTTTGGACATTTAGTTATATTCAGTAGTCATTGAGATGCTTTATTCTAAAACTATCTATTTCTATATTCACTATAGGTTTTATCCTTGAAACTTTAAAATTGCATGTTATGTATGCATATGCCTCAATACTTCATATTAAAGTTACCTCTTTGTAGTGTCATTGAAGTCTATGTGTGTATGCATGCGTGTATTTGTGTGCTTTGTTTTTGTAATGCCAAGGATGGAACCAGGCTGTGGTGCTTTGTAGCTGAGCACTGTACCACTGAGTGACCTTCCCAAACCACAGTTTTATTTTTTAGGATAGGAGAAATAAAGGAGATACTTGAATCATATTCTTTACAGTTCCTTAAGGAAACATGATTAAAATCTTTTTCCTTGAAGGAAAGTGACAAATTGAATATTGATTTTATTGAGAACTAAGAAAATCTTTCTGTGTAACATGTGCCTTGGGGAAATTAGTCTGTTTCTATAAAACTCTTAGACCATTCATTTCTTCTCATTATAGTTGATGCAAAAAGTTTCTGGATGGAGCTAGAAGATGATGGAAAAGTGGACTTCATATTTGAAAAAGTACAAAATGTGCTGCAGTCACTGAAACAAAAGATCAAAGATGGGTCTGCCACAAATAAAGGTATGAAGGAATAAAACCACTTTTCAATAAGCTTAATCTTAGGTATAGCAATATAGTACTGTACTTTTAACATTGTTTTAAAAGTCAGATAATTTCTGTTTTCTAAACATCTAATCTCTTTGCCGTTTTTCTGCTTTGCTTCCGTCTTATAAAAAAGTGATGAATCTGATTGCTGGTGAATAATAGTTACTCTTTTACTTCTTTTTTTGTCAGCCTATTTTTTTAACCCTTACGTCTTTTTAGGGGATGGGTAGGAGGAAGGATGTTGCCAAAGTAATATCTTCTTATTGTATAGTATTTTGCATATATAAAAACATTAACAAAGAAAATTATCTATTACCTCATGAATCAGACAGTTTGTCTTACACATAATCTGCCAAAACATACTCATCAGGAAAAGAAAAACTTTTATGAATATGTTAATACTAGATTTATTGAGGCATCATGAAATTAATACAAATTACCTTTGGCCTCTATAATTACAAGAGATGCTCAAAGTGGTAGGCATTAGCTTCCAGACATTCATCAGTACAGTGACCTGCTGAAGTGTGCATACATGTTTTGGCAGGCTTTGTGTATGAATAAGCTCAGTGGTAGAGCATGTGCTTAGCATGCAGGAGGCCTTGGGTTTGATTGCACCAATACAAATTTAAATACCCTGAATGTACATATAACTATATTTTGCCTGATTTGAACAGAACTTGTTCTGTTAGTCTTCAGAAGGGAACGCTTGTGTTTTACACAAGACAGTTAAGTCATCCAGTTTTTTTCTTTTTCTCTTTTTCTTTTTTTTTTGGTCTTTAGCCCCACTTGGTTGCAGGGTATCAGCGTCAATGAAAAATCATCCTTTGGTGTATCTGGACATACACAGGGTTTTTGTTTTGTGTGTATGTGTGTGTGTTTTTGAGACAGGGTCTCACTATGCAATTCAAGCTGGCCTTGAGCTCACTTTGTAGTCCAGGCTGGTCTCAAACTTGCAGTGATCCCCCTGCCTCAGCCTCCTGAGTGCTGGAATTACAGGCATGCACCACTACATCCAGCTGGATGTACAGGGTTTTTTTGTTTTGTTTTGTTTTGTTTTGGTACTGGGGATCAAACTCACAGCCACATGCTTGCAAGGCTAGCACTTATGCTGCTGAGCTAAATCCCTGGCCCTGGATATACAGTTTTAAAGCAAGATTTCCCCTGAACTATTCTTAATGCTTTCTGGTAATATTTCTGTTTTTATGACATTAATCTATTACGTATTAATTTTTTTTTTGGTACTGGGAATCGAACTCATGACCTCGCGCTTGCCAAGCAAGTGCTTATGCCCCTGAACTAAATCCCCAGCCCTGTTGTGTATTAATTAATTAATTAATTTTGGCTTTTTGAGAGAGTGTATCACTATGTGGAACTGCCTCAGCCTCCCAAATGCTAGGATTACAGGCATGCGCCACCATGCCCAGCCTTGTATTCATTTTTTTTTTAAAGTACTAGTTTTCATTTTAATACTGTGTCTCAGCCTTTAAGTAAGTTTGAGTCCAGTTCAAGTAAGATAAAATATATAAATTGTTTAGCATAGTAGCTGGTTCTATAAAGATGGTGATAACTAATTGCCTTCATTTTTTTTCTTTTTATTTTTTCTTAACAGAGTATATCCAGGCAATGATTCTAGTGAATGATGCAACTATTAGTAAAAATTCAACATTGAAAAAATGTATGTACATTTCTTACCCCAATCCTGGAGCATTCTCTTACATTTCCTTGCCCCAAAACAAGCCATCCTTCATATGTTATATTAATTAATTATAATTTGAAACCAAATGTAAGATCCACATTGCTAAGTTATGCCAGTTTCATCTATTAAATGAAAAATCTTGCCCATCTACAGTCTTCTTTATATATAGAATGCAAAAGAATTCTAAGACTAAAATAAACCTGCTTTCTGTGAAGAACACTAGTAGAAAGGTATGTGTTTTGTTTTAGTGAGGTTGGTAGATAATTTTTCATTTCTAAATTTTTTTTTTTTTTTAGATCATCGGTCTTCCAGGCTCTAAACAAACTCAATTTAGAAGGTTCAAAGATGGCAATAAAAAACTGTTTCTCTATTCACAACACTTCTGATACCATACCAAGCAGTAGTCCAATTTTTGTGAACACCTTCATCTTCTATAGTTTAGTTTGATTGTGACATTAGCTACTCAGTGCTGACTCCATAAGTCAAGGACTGAGTCCCCTAGGACTTGTCTTCTGCTTCTGATGCCAGTCATAAGCCCTAGGCCTCTGCTACTTCTGAGTTGCCTTCAAATCAGAGAGTTCTCGTAACACCCTTACCAGGTTTCGTAATTTTACTATAATGGCTTAAAAAACTCAGAGGAATGCTTCATTTATTATTAGCAGTTTATTACAAAGGATATAAATGAACAACCAGATGAAAAGTAACGAAAGTCAGTCTGGAGGATCTCTAGGTTAAGGAGTTTCTCTACTTGTTAAGTTTTGGATATGTGTCACCCTCCTAGCATATGGATGCTTTCACTAACCTAAAAGTGCTCTGAATGCCATCATTTAGGATTTTTTTTTTAAATATTCATCACATAGTCACAAATGACCAATGATTTGTGATTGAGTCAGTTGCCTGCCCTTCTCTTCTTCCAGGCGATAGGGGACAGGAGTGGTTAGGGCTTAAGATTCTAATCCTGTAGTTGTGCTTTCCAGTGACTAGCCCCATCTGTGTGATCCCAGTTACCAGTTATCATTTTAGCATACAGAAGACAAGCACTCACCCCTACGGAGATTGCAAGGGTCTTAGAAGCTCTTAGGTCAGGAACGAGGAAGTAAGACCAAGTACTGTAACAGTAGGTGTTCCTATTACTTCATCAGTTAGCAGAGTAAGTGTTTTAGTACTCTGTCTGAAACTGGGGCAGGACTGACACATACTTCTTTTTATTTGTACCAAGACTGGAAAACTTGAAGTTATTTTATCGGAATCAAAATTCCATAAATCTTCGTATCACAAATTTCCTCTTGTTGAGGGAGTACTGATTTTAATTAGTACAGTTGGGATACTGGCAAGAGATTTCAATTTTGTTTTACTGCCATAATTTGGAGGTTTACAACTTTTAAATCTCTGAACTACATCCTAGCATCTTCATTCTATTTTAAAGAAACCTTTTGTTTGTCAGGAGTATTCTCAATTTCAGTAAATATAGTTTGAAAAGAATATGTTCTTGAATAAAATAACCTCCCTTTTACAGTATCCTTCAGTAACATCTGGAATTGTAGGAGTGAAATCTTTATCTCAGTGGCTAGCATTGGGAAGGGCTGTGAATTAATCTGACAGAAGACAGATTTAACAGGAGAAAAGGCATACAGGCTAATTAACTTGTAATTTTACATGCACAGGAGAATCATATAAAAAAAGTGAATACCCAAAGCAGTGATGGGATTTGAGAGCTTATTATACCGTCCTTACAGAGGAAGGATAGGAGCGGAGGGCATTTGTGGAAGAACAAATGACTTTTAGAAGGAGGTGAGGAAAAAGGCAGTTAGGGAAGCACAGTTGGCTTCTGAGAGTTAAATTAGTCCTGAAGGGACAGATGACAGGAATGATAGTTTGTGACAATGTCTGGATATGGTGCTAACTTCCTCTCTTCGCCTGTGATGTCAATTATTCCTGTTTGAAACTCCTAGAGGAGGCAGTTTATGACAGGTTTGAGATATTTTGTGTATTTTGTGCTTTGAATTTGGTAAGGATCTGCTTTTAGGTAGTTAAGAAGAGTTCAGAGGAGGTCTTTTCCTACATTAGTTGAGAGTTAATATACTTTAGCTCAAAATAATCATTATGCTACTGTGACATATCTGGACCCCTTCAGAATCAACACAGCTTTAAGGGACTATATGTTTCCCCAGACAGGCTTTTAAATGCAGGTAGTAGTAACAAGAATATAATTGAAAGCAACACTTTTTTTTCTGAACCAACTTACTTACCACTAAAAGTGTACGTGCTGTCGAAGTGAGGGTATTTACCACTAACAGTAAATTGGGTTTTTGTTTTGGGACTTTTAAAGAATAATTTCATTAATAGAAATGCTATATAATTTTACATTTTATGTAGTTCATCTGAAACTAACAAACTTATGAAATAAAAGAATATCTATTTGCCAGTGTTTAAGTAATTAGGGGAAAGCTACACATAATTGACATTATGTTAGCAAGTATGAAGATTAGAAATTGTAGTTATAAACTTCTAGTATTTATTTTTAAAAGAATACTAAGACTGGGCAATCGACTCGGGACCCCCTTCTCTCTCTCTCTCTTAGACAGAAGCTTTCTTTTCTCTCAATACATATATTCTGCTCTTAAAAAAAAAAAAAATGGAATACTAAGACTGAGGAAAAAGCTGGGCATGGTGGTGCACACCTACAGTCCTAGCACTGAGGAAGCTGAGGCAGGAGATCACTGTGAGTTCAAGGCCAGGACTACAAAGTGAGTTCAAGACCAGCCTGAATTGCACAGTGAAACCATGTGTCAAAAAAAAAGAGGAAAAAATGCACTTAGTGTGAGGTGAAAACAAGCCCTTGGGAAGCAGACTACACTCCCTAGAGTCTCATCAAACACTGATTACCTTTACTCACCTCTCTTAGTTAACAACTGTAAATACTTAACTGTCCCCATACAAGATGGGTTACTTTTTCTTGACAGACATTGCATCTGTTTTCTGTCTTACAATTGTAGATACCCATGTTTTCCCATAACCTTATTTCCAACTCTTTGGGTACATTTGTTTTGCTCATATTTGTTAATGTAGATTTTTTATGATTGTGGCCAAGAAGTAACCTCGGGAAAATAAGAAGTTCTTAATTTATATGATTTCTTACAATTATTATAGTTTTCTTCACCATAAGATTTTAAATCTTCTTTTGTTACCTAGGTAACTAAGGGGGAATATTTGTTTTCCAGTGAGCCAAGGCACAGCCTTGGTTGTAATTTTAAATGTTCCTTATTAAACTTTCATTGCTGTTTTTAGTAAAACTAAAACATTTCACTTGAGCAAACTTTAGTGAGGCTTCTGAACTTTCAAGTACTTCCTTGAAAAACGCAATTTTATCAAGAACCTCTTTTTTCTCAATATCTGATAAATATCTGATTAGATTCCTTACCCCCTCCCATCTTCCTGTGATTGTCTGATTATTCTCTAAAGCAAAAGTCCTGTTAGAATGGTTAGCCAGAATCCCCTTTTCCTTTTATATTCCCTCCTAACCATTTGTCATCCATTTACCACCACCCTGCTCTTGAATACCAATTTCCACTTGCTTGTGCTATTTCAGATTTGAGTTCAGTCTCTTGGGTCACTGCACTATCTCCTTGCAGTGTTCTCCATACTTATTGAAGTAGAACTGAATAAAGTCTGCTTTATATGTCTTAGCAGGTGTCATTGAAAAAAAAATTTTAGCAGCAATATAGCCAGCTGTGGTGGCACCTGTGTAAAATCTCAGCACTCAGGAGACTGAGAGGACTGCTGTGAGTTTGAGGCCCGCCTGAGCTACATAGTTCAAGGCCAATCTGAACTACACAATGAGACGCTGTCTCAAAAAGTCAAACAAACAAACAAATCCCAGCAATATAATAAGGCAGGATAAGAATCACTTTTTTCCTTAAAGTCCATTAGTATACATTAAGGAAAGTTTTTAAACCAAACAGAATATTCCTATAATCTATAAATTTTTCCTTAAATAGACCACTTCATTTCTGTATTATAGATATGTTAGAGGATAAGAATAGTTCAAGGGCAGTATAAAAACAAGAAAAAAGTAGAATGTATTTCTAGCATGGCCAAGACTCTTGATTTGATACCCAGCACTGTAACAAAGAACAAAGAGAGGGGAGTAAGGGGCGGTGGAGGATGTTACGTGTAAAAAGATAACATGAAGTACGGCATGATACATAGACCAAGAGAGGTAACCAAATTCCTCCTCCAAAATGGATGGTTATGGAACCGTGACCAAACGAAAGATACACGTTCTATCTTACGATTTTGCATAAACCTTGAAAAACTGATAATTTTCTGTAAAGTATAGCAGAAAGAGGGATACTTAATGCTCACCTTATAGTTGGTTAAAATACAGTTCACATTCAGCCCAAACTACAGGTTTCCTAGTAGCACTCTCTTGCAAGCATTTTAATTTATCTGAGTCATTATAAATATTTTTGAAACTATTGACACCTAATCTTTTGGCTGTATATTGAAATCTTAATATTTTTGCAAATTTTATGATTCCTTATAGGCAGAATTTCTAAAAGATAGTATTTAGAGGTTTTAGCTTTTAACTTGGTACACTTATTACTCACATTTGCAATTTTGTCCATGTAGATCATATAACTGTGACTCCAAGAGAACAGGAAAACAAGTCAAATGTATTCCCTTCTACATCATCTGAAGACTCCTTTCCAAAAGGCTTTACATTTCTGTATGTATATACATATTTATGTTAATGTTTTTGCTCTTAGAGATTTAGTCTTTCAAAATCCTTTGATATTAGATAAACGATATAAAAAGGCTTTTTCCCATTAAAGCTTTACAAGTTACAAAGTCTGGTATTTTATAAAGGTTCATGAGTCCCTTAATAGATTATTTATTTAATATCCCTAAGTAAGTAAGTCATTTTGTAATACAGTGGTACCTCAGTTTATGAACTTAATTTGTTTTACGATTTTGGGGAAGATGGGTGCATTTGTGTTTGCATGTAGAAGATGACCATGGTCATGTTTGTTACTGGATACAGGGTTTGCAAAAGGAAGCAAAATAAATGTTTTCATTTCTGAACCAAAGCATTTAGTGATCTGAGGCATTACTATATTTTGCTTAAGGTATTTCTGTATTTCATTAGTACAGTAAAATTTACCAAGTTAGCTTCCTTAAAGAATTTGTAGATGTAGAATATTAAAAGAAATTTGTAAGTATCTTTCAGTATTCAGTTTGTGAAATGTGTAATTGTTCTCAAGTAGTAGAAAGTAATAATTTTCCTGACCTCCCTTTCACTATTTATCTCTAATTTTACTACACATTCCTTTGCATAAAGGAGAATTATACAAGAGCAACTTTGACCTTCTGATACTTTGTTTTTTTTTTTTTGTCTTTTTGTGGTTTTTGTCGGTACCAGGGATCGAACTCACGACTGCCTGCTTGCAAGGCAGGCGCTTACGCCGCTGAGCTAAATCCCCAGCCCCCCTGATACTTTGTCTTTGTTTATTTTTAGTAGGTAATATCTCCACTAAAACCTTTAACTACTAATTCAAGGAAAATTTCTTGAAAGTTTTCTGCCAAAGCAGGAAGTTCTGAAAAACAAAACACAGCATCTTTAGAATTAATGTTTAGCTTTTGCTTTAATTTTATTTGTCCTTTCAATGAAGTATTCAAATGACTCCCTAAAAATTCTTGAAATTAAGGAGTTACAAAAGTTGAACTGCACCTATAATCCTTGCACTTGAGATCTAAGAGGCTGAGGCAGGGGTATCATATATGTGAATCCCTGCCCTTATTCCCCATTTTATAGCTCATGAACAATTTTTTTCCTAGAAATTCTGAGCACTTTATAATGTAAAACTAAAATTTCATTTTTATACAGATGAAACCATTCTAAGTCACTAAAATATGATTCATTTTCAAATAAACTTCTACTCAACAAGCTCTTCCCCATCTTAAGTTTAGACAGTTTACATTTTAAACCTAAATGTAAGTGTCTCCTTTTGGCTTAAATGCATTAGATAGCTTAGCAGAGTCTTTTTGAATTGTGGATCTCTTTTGTATAATGTTTTGTGTATTTTCTAGCTTATTGTGTATAATAAGTTCCCTCATTTTTTGGTAATTTTTGTTCTATTTGTTCTTCTTTTGTCTTTGGTATTGGGTATTAAACCTAGAAGCACCACTTGCTTTTTGGTAACAGTTCTACCCTGAGCTATATCCTCAGCCCTTTTTAAGAGAGTTGTACAAAGTTGCCCAAGGTGGCCTTGAATCTACCTGCCTTAGCTTCCTGGGTAACTGGGATTATAGGTGTGCAGTACCATGCCCAGCAAGCTTGCTGGCCTTTATTGTCACTGAAAACAATATTAAATGTAGCATAACTAAAGACAGACTTGTGACACGAGAGATCTCTTTTCATTACTCTTACATATATGTGCTGCAAAAGCAAGCGCTTCATTACTCTTCAGAAAGAATGTTTGACCAGCCTAGTTTTCCTCTCTCTCCTCTCTCTTCTCTCTTTTTCTTTTTCTTTCTTTCTTCCTTCTTGTTTTTGTTTGTTTGTTTGTTTTTTGAGACAGGATCTTACCATGTAGTATAGGCTGGCCTCAAACTCAGTGATACTCCTGCCTCAGCCTCCTGAGGCTGGAATTAAAGGCTTGCATCATCATGCCTGGCATAGTTATGTTTTCTTTTGTAAAGCTGTCTTGAGAAATCTGCTGTAGTATTCTATAACAATATCAGAGTTTATCAGAACTTTATCAAAAAGGAAAATTCTCTTAATTTGGACTTCACTCACCTAACTGTTGACTCAACAAATAGTATTGACTTTTTAAATTCTAAATTTTATGTTTGATTCTCTTTTTTAGAAACACTGACGAGATCAGTAGCTTTGAGTACACTAAAATTAATGACTACTTTATAGAGTGAGATACATTAATATTTCATGTTCACTTTCCTCCAAAAGCAAAAAGGAAATCAAAGAAATAGCTGGAATGGAGGAAATCAAGTAATGATATATGGAGAAAAGAATGGCACAGAATCTGATTTGAAACATAATTTGGTGAAGTCAAGCTGAAAAGGAGAATGAGACATTTGGTTTACTATTTAACACAGAGCACTACTAACTTGAAAGTGAGCAGCCTATGTCAAAACAGAGAAGAATGTCAGGGGAGTCTAAGAGAATTTATTACAGTGAATTCTGAATGAAATGAAACCAAAAAATAGTAAATCTCAGAAAGACAAACAAGGGAGGCACGGTGGGGCGTGCCTGTAATCTCAGCACTTGGGAGGCTGAGGCAGGAGGATCACTGAGTTTGGAGGCCAGGCTGAACTGCATAGTGAAACCCTGTCTTAAAAAGAACCCCCACCCACCCATCCACCCCCCCCACGCCAAAAAAGAAGACTTAGAAGTGCTCAGAATTCACTGCGTAGTATACTGCTTTATAAGGAAAACAGTAAAAAGGAAGTTGGCAGCTAATAATAGGGAACAAGTACTTTCAGGTCCTGGCTTTAAAAATTAAGGAAATATTGGATACTAAAATAAGTGAAAGGATTAAAGTAATTACAAAAGTGGAGTGGGCTAATGAAGATAGGAGTTAATTGGGAGAATGAAACAAAAGTAGATTATAGAATCTATTTGCCTGTTGTTTTTTAAGTTAACATAAATAGTCATGCATATACTTGGTTACTTCACCCAGCATAGATTTTTTTTCTTTTTTCTTTTTTTTTTTTGTACAAGGGATTGAACCCACGACCTTGCACTTGCCAGGCAGGTGCTTATACTGCTGAGCTAAATCCCCAGCTTCAGCACTGATCTTGAGACCCAGTCATTTTTCTATTTTTATTTTTACTTTTATTTTAAAGAGATAAAACAAAGCAAACCAAAATGGAACAAAGTAGAGCAGAGTAAAACAATGCAAATAACACAGGATTTCAGAAAAAGACAGCAGGAAATCAACAGTGGCTACCATAACGTCTCTTGTTTTCTCATTTTTCTGTTTTTAGAATTGTTTCATTTTGTATAACTCTAGTTTGGTTTTCTATAATCTGAAAGTACATTTTATTTGTCTGCCTCTTTATGGATGGGTATTTAGGGGGTTTCAACTTTTTTAAAAAAGGACTCATGGGGTTGGGGATTTAGCTCAGCGGCATAAGCGCCAGCCTTGCAAGTGTGCGGTCATGAGTTCGATCCCTGGTACCAATAAAAATGAAAAAGACAAAAAAAAATTATTAAAAAAAAATAAAAAAGGACTCATTATGAAAGTTACCTTTTAACGAGGCTAACATGTTGATGATGGGACTGTAATCCATATGTTTTGCTGCCAGGCAGCTGTGATTTGAATTGACTGTCCCATCAGGTGGCTTGAACTACCAGTGATACATACATGACTGTCAAGCAGCATGTACCACTTATCAGGGGTACATTTGATTATAATAATGCAAAGAAAGGCACAGATTTAGCAGATCAGATGTTATCATATTATAGTTCTTTGAGAAAATCATTAAAATGATATAAAAGTTATAATACAGCTAATTTGTGGAAGAGCAGTTGTAAATGCATGTTATATATACCAGCAATGGGGTACTTGTAAGGTTTCTATGTTAAAATTTAGAGAATTATTTATTAATAAACTACTCATGAATGTAAATAAATTTGTTTATTATAATTTTAATAATTGTATTCATATTTGTATTTGAGCAGTAATTAGATTCAAGCAATTAACTACATTTGGTCCATTTATAGGCTTTTTAATTAATTATATTAGTAAAAAGACTAATAAAACAGATTAGATCATTTGCACCACCCGTGGCTCAGGCCAGCAGGAACATGCTAACCTGGGATTAATAAGCATATCCAGAATGCAAAAGAAAAGAGCCAGAGGATTTCTGAGTTGGTATTTATATAAATATGAAGTACAGGTATTTTCAACATATTTAAAGAACTGATTATTAAATGCGTACTGCAAAAGTACTGATTGTGGGAAAACCTGATGTATTTATTGTGAACTAAAAAGTAAAGCAAACAAGTAAGAACACCAGGACTTAGAATAAATTACATAGAAGCCATGATCAAAAAAAATAACTTCTGAGTGTAGAAGAATATGAACTCTGGAGGTAAGGGTACCACAATATGGGAAAATACTAGTAGACAGCTTTTTAGGGGAGTACTGAGGATTGAACTAAGGCCTTTGCACTAAGCTACTTCCCTAGGCTTTTTTTTTTTTTTTTTTTCTGGAAATGATCTTGCTGAGTTGCCAAAGCTTGGTTTGAACTTGGCAATTCTCCTGTCTCAGCATTCCAGAGTGCTAGAATTACAGCTTGTGCCACCATAACCAGCTTAACAAAAAATTTTTAAAATAAAATTTTAGTATTATGACTAACATATAAATATCTTCAAAATATCAACTCAAAAACCAACAAAAGTAACAACATGGTTAATCTGAAATTCAACTTCTGCAAAAGCTCAGAAAATATGTTATCCATATACTGTTCTAGAAAACTTTCTCAGATATCCTGTTACAGGCTCTGAGATGAGTCAAATATAGAATTTAAAGTTGAAGAAGACATAGTACTTAAGAAATGGCAATGCAGGAAATCTATTTCACTACAGAGACATAAGAAAAAAGCTTATCTTTACGACTGCCACAAGACATTTTAAAAATATCAATACCTACTTTTAGAAATAGTATTTTCCTTCTTTCCTTTTTCACTCTCTCCATAGAATTT